GCGGTAGTTGATCCAAATGGCGCATAGTTTCGATTTTCGCTCATATGGTAACTAATCGCGACGAACCTTTGATCCGCATGCGGTCAGGATGTTCACTGAAATCGGCTTCGTAGGTTATGTTTTCTGTCCATCTGCCGGAGTAGACATAAATTTGATTGCAGGTGGCAACAAACCACACTCATGATGGTCACTTCACTGCACACAGTTAGGACTGTCGAATGGAGGGGGGTAATCGAGGAACTGCACAGAACCCTACTTCGTTAAGCCTGTACTTGCCCGACGAAGACAGAATCAATAGCACCCTGATGAAAGACAGACGTTGTTCAGAGCTTATTATTACTACCATTACTAGTAGGTAGTTAAGCGCCACTACACGGATTTGAGCAGCCAAATGACCAAAGTTGATAACGGATGAAAAGGGGAACGGTGATGGACCAAGTTTGTTGAATGGCCGGAAAGGCCAACTAGACACTCAGAAGTGAGACAAACCAACAGTCTCTGGCCTAACGATAGCACTTTGAATCGCATCGATTGACCCATAACTGTGTTATGCCGCACTGAGCCTAACTTGCGTGAACCGCGGTCCAATAGATTTGTGGCATAGTTGTGTTATCAAGTGATCAATTGAACCATGTTACACGGCCCCGATGGGTGCCGACGGTGTGGCTCACTGGTTCCCTCTCGGTCGTACAATGAGAAGCGACACACGCTAGATTGCTATCGTGACTTCTGAGTAGCTGTACCGGGACTACAATGCTGTCGTGTACCAGCTTTCCAGTGTAAGCGACACAGGCACCCAATCGTATGGGATGCTGTTATTGCCTTAGCACTCTATGAACGAAGCGCCCGCGCCGCACATACGCGTCTGCTCGGGGCCCATCCTGGTGAATGAATCGGCTAGTTCCATTTTCGTAGGGTTTGCGCAGATACTGAGAGGTCGTTGGCTTTATTGCAGAGCATGATTCCACGACAGTCCGAACCACGGAACGGAAAGGGGTCGAGATGGACTACCCAGGATGTACGTGGCATTAAAAGGCTGGGTGAAAGTAGTTAGTTGCCAACTGCACCGCCTGTGCTCATCAGGCTCCGAATGTAGGCGAGTTCGGGGTCCGCAATGTGACAACGGGATGGTAGGACATGTGTGTGAGGTTCGTGATTGATTACACAATACTGATGAATAATGTTGAAGGGACCAGTTGCCCGCCTATTCGCCGGTGGTCATTGCGAGCGATACTCAAATAAAAACAAGTCAGTCGATCCAGCCCGATATTCTCCGAAGGTTGACTGGTAGTCAGGTGTATTTCAGCACAAATCTTGATTCCGTTTGGGCTCATCACTCAGTCACTTGATGCTTCTGATGTGTGGCGAAAATATCACGAGTAGGGGCATCTGGTACTTCAACGAGGGCGCGAATTCTAAGAGGCATGGTGAGAATAGAAAAAGATATGTGCTCTAATGTAAGCGACCACGTATCAGGGCATCAGCAGTACGTCGACACACCGTACCGAAACTTCGTTGCCCCGCGACCACTAACAGTCGCGCGTGGACTGAATATATCGCGAGGTCGACCGGACTACGCGGGTCCGAACTGGTTGCCTCCGGATGACAAAGCAAACGCGTCATCCTTTCTGCCGGTGACCAAAAAGGGTGCTCAGGGAACGACTGGTGACATAATCCATTGATATTCCAGGTGGCGTAACGGTTACCAGCTGAAGGTCAGCATACAGCCACACGTCTATGCCTGCTGGCGTTCTGTTAGCCAATCTAAGTACACCGTTCAAGGTCACGGCCTCACACCGTTTAGTTGAGGGCCCAACTCATCTGGGGTTATATTCGCCCTTAATGGCTGGGACCTCGGCTTACAAGGAGAGATGAAGCGGACAACATATGAACTGTGGCCAAATGACTTACAGGCAAGTACAACATGTGGGAAACGTACGGTGTTGGTTAGAATAACTGTTGTCACGCCAAACAGGCGAAAGAACCTAGGGTTGTCACGTGACCATTTCCCATATTTGACCGGAAGGAAAGACGGGATCATTTTGACAACCAAGCAACTATTCTGCAAACTGACACCAATGACGTGACACTCAGATTAGCACTGACATGTAGCGTGAACACGGACTCCAAATCCAGATACCTGATCAACAAACTGGTCACGGCAACTATGCTCGATTAGATCAAGGTGCAGCCATATTAGCAGCAGACTGCTGCCAGCTGTCAGAAATTTCGATTAGGACTAAGCGGATCTAGTATGAAGAGGTGTTTTGCAAATGAGCTGCCCAACAATCATGATAGTGACATCAGGCCGAAATCACTTTCATAAAACCAAGGAATTAAATTGTCCATGGCGTCAGCCTCCACTGTTTTAGACGGAAAATGCGTCTGATTAGTACAGGAAAACCAAATGCTGCAGATGCGTAGTATCATCAAGTTCCCCGGTATTAATAGACTCAACTACAAGGTGCTCATTGGAATCGACCGCGTCGCTGCGTAGCGATTTAATGAGAGAGAGGCGTCAACCCTGCAAATTAAGATCCGGTCGCATTAGGCGCCTAATGAATGCTCAGTGCACAGTATAGGCGACCCCAGGGGGATGAAAGGTAAGCGAACACGTACCCATGGAATTGAGGAAGCGGGTAAGAAGTGATTCCAATTTACCCGAGTGCCGCACCTTTGTGGCACTCAAAGGTGACCCATCCTAAAAATCCTCGGGGTGCCGATTGAACAACCGCATTATGTCAGCAAGTTTCATAAGAAACACATAGCCCGTTCATTGAGCGATGGGCAGGGTGAAAAGACCAGAAGCACTATGCCGGAGTAGGCCAGCTATTCTGGTAACCCAGCTAGCATATTGAGATGAGCAAAGTAACGAAGAACACGTCCCGCGGAAAACTGGGCCTTGCTTTCCACTACTGGTGGAATAATGATGTATCCCTCTCACGAACCAGTTAACACATTAAGAGGAGTATGTTAGCTGGTGTGGTTGATTGCCGATATGATCAAGGGAAATGGCATCAACTGGAATCAATCCTTAAAGACGCGGCGCCCACAGTCGTTAGTGCAACAAGCGTATGTGGGCAATGTTTGTGCTTCGAAAGTCAGACGGGGAATGGACGGGGTGTTGACAAGGGGTTTATTTTCCTTTTTTATGCGTCTTGTGCGAAATGTTATGGGGAGCGACACTGACAGACCGAGAGGGTTGCAGCCTGTTTGTCAAAATTCCCACGGTAAGATATTGTTAGTAGAAAATAGCTTCTTACATGTTGAATCAACGCACCCACACACGTAGGAAGTTTGTAGTTAACTTTTGCTGCTTGTATTTGGTTATCCGTGGAGTACAGGAAACAGTCACCAATGGTGATTGCGTCAAAGAATGTGTGAACACAGAAAGATTCCACAGTTTCATATCATCCATGCAGATGATATCCGTGGTAAACAATTCGCTGTCGGTTTTACGATTTATGTCCATGGACCCGTTTAAGAAGTTAATTAGTCACTGAGTTTGTTAGGCTAATGCTAGGACGTCCTAAGTTGACCGGTGCTGGCGTTTCGACACAAGACGAGCACTTAGCATGTCAAGATTTTTAGGTGTAAGACACTTGCAGAGTAAGACCGCTAAGTCCAATGCTCGTGCATCATCATATTGGTCACCGACCGCTACACTATCTATTCCAACCGCCCTCTACATCCCATAGAAGACTTCGAAGATCTGAATTGGGCATATAGGATTTTCTTCCTTACTGACCGCTTGTTTCTCGCTGGATCTGAACTGTTAAGTTCAAGTGGTGAACGCTGTACCTGTAGCATACATCTCTTGTACTATGGCAATAAGAATCTTACAGTACTTTGTTCACCCCCAGCATTGAATCGTACTGAATTATTGTACTATTGAGTTTATACGTACAATATCAGATGGCTCTTCTCATCGTGGTTACGCAAAACAGAAGCGGATCTGAGAAGTACTTAGACTGGACGATTCGAATCCACTAGTGTGACCCCAACACCGTGCATCCTATCTCTGTGCTAGGTCATTGTGATGAGTTCGTCAAGCGGGTTCACTAACGAGAACTGACGGACGAACTTGAGAGGGTCAAGTCACGCAAGTAAGAAGCACTTGACAGAGGAAGAGTCATTTGCGAATATGAACCTAGTGTTATTCCAATTTATGCAATGATTGAAAGGGCGTGTTGCTTGACTGGATGACGATGCAGGAGACTCATCGATCACGTCCTCTGCAAAGCGACGCTGTGCGCCAAACGTAGCAGCATGCGATTGCTTATGGGCGTAAATTTAAAAAGCTTCGCTCAGCGGACTAGTCAAAACACCGCTACTATCGGCGAAGGATCGAGTAAATTTCCCCGCGGGGTCGGTTGAGCTATGCATTTTCCCACTAACTGAGTGAAATGAAGGTGACCGATGAAACCCACGAGCGTACCGAGGTATCTAATCGCTCTGATAAATACAAATCTATACAGTAAGACTCACGTTTTCACTGCACCTAATGGACCCGAAAAGCGTGTCCTGGCAAGTACGTGGTAGACAAGCGAGCTAAGGCCGTTGCAACAACGTCCAACCATCACCGAATTACTGATGATCAAGGTTAAGACCATATTACGGTGCCCATGTCAGGTTGCGGATGTTTCAAGATGTGAAACAAAAGTAAAAACGCAGCAACTGGTATCATAGGTTGTGGGATCAGCAACAACTATGGGTCTTGGCATAGATGCAGTTACTTTTAGCCTAATCACTCGTAACACGGGGCGGATGGGATAACTGATGACGCAGTAGCCAGTTTGACACCTGTTGGCGCCATTCTTGTTTGACATCCACCATCGAAAGGTCAAACGAAAAAGAGCGACTACCAATGAAGTTGTGCATTGCTCTGTTCCAACAAGGAATGCCTAAACAAATAAAACTTTCGTCAAGTAACTTGTCGGAAGTAAGCTAGTTTGCCAAATATCGCATTGCGCAGTGATAAAGAATAAGGCTGAACTCACCAATATCTAAAGCCCCGTGGTAAATCTTCTGCGCCTGTACAAGTGGTATCGGTAAGAGCAAGCAATAGGCTGTCAACAAATGAAGCACACTGGTGTAGGGGAAAAAGTGCCTTTGCAGTTGTTCCCATAATAGACAAACGCTTTGCTGAATAGATAAGTGGACTTGGTGGGACTCTTGGTCCTGGATGCATTGAAGCATATTTGGCGTGTGATAGGGGTTGAGTGCCTCATGATTCACCCCACCAGCTCGTCTGGGCCATGTGTCGTAAATCCCTCCCGTAGTCAATGTTTCCTCTCCGGCCAACACAGAGGCATGCTCGTCTTCGGACTCACCTGACAGTGGGGTGAAATGGGGTCGCTGCCCTGGTCCTGCATTAACAGCCGGTCCCGGAGTGTAAGTGCGATTGGTCATAAAAGTTGTGGGCAGTGTAGTCAGTGGAATGGCCGACCGCCAGCCTTGACCCAGGGAAAGTGTGTTGATGCTGTTCATATCCCGACCAATTTGGACCGATTCACTGGCGTAATTCGTTGTCCGGATCACACTGACAAACAGGAACAGGCAGAATGAGCCGATTGCACCGATCAACATGGCGAGAGAAAAGTTTAAGCCGGTCTGATCCCAATCTCCTCCGAATTTGGGGTCGAAAGCCAGAAATTTGAAGGACAAGTAACGTGTGATCCCATTGTAGATCAGAAACAGGTGCAAAGTAGAAATTAGTATTCCGTGCCATACGCACCACAGTTTGTCACATCTGGTTCCCTTTCTGTAGGTGCCCATGTGGTCAAGGTATGTGGGGAGGTAGAGCAGAGCACGACCTACGCATTGCTGTGCGTAGCAGACGTTGTCACTTGGACACGGGAACGATTATTTACACATTTCGCCATGAGGAAAGCGCATCGGCAATTACTTCGTAGTTGCTTTCGTGCCGGAACTCATTGCTGACAGAGAGCCACGCAGTGTCGCGGGTATTGACGTGTACTGTTAGTTCAGGTATACACATGTCTGAGCGAGTATGAGCTAGTCATCCGGCAGTCGCGTCGAGACCACGGACACTGACGATTCCATTATGGCCAGGTACCACACGGAGTGATTCCCGTACCCGGACGTGATTGGTTATTGGCTGTGACCAATCAGATAATTTCTTCAAACCTTGGCGTTCGTCGCATATGCACGTGCGAAGGCCATGCGGGTTATTGCAATCATGGTGGGGTGTGGGTGATAGTGACCTACTGTGTTGACGATATTCCCATATTTGGTAGGCGAATGATGCTCTCATGACACTAATGACGGTCAGGAATAAAAGAGTTCTGTCTGATTGGGGGAGTGGAGTGTCTTCAGGGCGCACGTTAAACCTTACACCCTGTTTGGCCAGTTGTCAGCGTGCATTCCAGATCGCCTCCAGTCCTATCATGAGCGTGTTTCAGACATCGAGGTAAACGAAGCCGATTATGCTAAGGACAATTCGTCATTTTCTATGACAAACGACATTCGCGATGTGTTGAGCGTCTTAAAAATCGGGCACGATTGCATGGTTAGATGTGCGGTACTAGCTACGCGGAAGCCAATTACCAGATGTTTGCTTGCTAATCGCGTGGAGAGTGGTTTGATGGACTGCAGCACAGCTTCATACTATTAAATTGACGAATATGATCTTGATGTATGTGCGGTACGCGTCCCATCTGCCGGGTGTCGCTCAGGTAATCATTTGCCTATCGGTCATGCGTTCTAGTGCGAGGCCACCACTATCGGGACTGACGGGATCCTGACAAATAATTTTGTAGTCCGTTGCCTGTATGAACAGGTGCACTTCTTTGGTTGAAGTCATTGTTGTGATTGTCTGCGAGGCTTGGTGACTCCACGCGTGATTGACTTCCCCCATTTGGTGTCAAAGTGGGATCGGAAGTCTGTGCAAGGTACCTGCGCATTGATGTCAATGAGGTTAATTGTACGCCGATTGCTCGGAGCACCGTCGTGCGGAAACAAGCCCAATGTCTCAGCGCCAAAGTTCCCGACTTTTCTATTCCAAGAAGATATAGAACGGGAACTGGAAGGGACATTGCTGTCCGCACTACGTAGTTGAGTCAAACTATAACCACGTTAAGTTCGGGGGATGTCAAGTGTATTATGATATCAAGTAACTCAGATGCGGATAAACTCAGCTGAGAGTGCACGCCGCAGCCAGTGGGAAAGATGAGACACCACAGGAGTTCAGAGTATGGGGCAAAAGGTATGGGGCACAAGTTGGGATTTTTTGTGTGAAACATATGGAAAGCATAACGATTTCACTGAACAGCATCTGAAACTTCGCGAGTGTTTTTCGGATCCCGGGGCCGCCGTGATCTTGTAAGGCTAAGCAGTAACGGGCTTACTGAGGGCGAGTACTGGTCCGTCAATGAGATGATCACTTGCTGGCGAACAGAATAGCCTGTACTGTCTCGTTGAACTCCAGTAGGAAGCGCCGAGGTAGACAGAAGCGAGCCATTACATAAGTTAGAGAATAGGTATTAGCAACAATGGTGTTGTGCGGCGGATGCTAGATAGTGAAGTGTACTATACTCCATCGGATAGTCCAATAAGGACAAGACAAGCAGTGAGTCTGAGATCCATCCCTTCTTTGCAAACGCGAACCAGCATGCTTTTACGGGAAATCACACATTCTATTTTCTCTGGGTTACTCAGTTAAATATTTGCTTACTTCGTGAGTGAGCGCGGCACCTGTCGGATTAGTATGCGCCCACAATAAACATTCCAGTAGTTGCACTTCACCTATATTTGTTTGTTGGTTGTTTACCGTTGAATGTCACCCTTTTGGTTTAAACAACATGAAGTTGGAGCTGTTGTTGACCGAAAAGGGGCTAATTGTCTCTAAACTATCATTCTTTGACCTATAGCAGGTGCCCCTTTATTGCATGTTATAGCATGCCAAGGAAGTGTCCTTGATATGCGGTGGTGTGTCCCCTGCGTTCGTTGATGGAATAAACACGACTTGCGGGAAATACCATCTCGCTCTACTGAATGGGGTTCTGAGTTTCAAACTACGCCTAAAGGAGCTGTTATAAATAGAAAAATAAATAAATAAATTGCATATTTCTCGACGGTGCTAGGTATAGACCAAATGTGTTGTATGATCATTATGTACAATATACTCGGATGGAGAGATTTTTTGAACTTCACAATGTTGGTCACAGGGAAGCTTTGCGGTGTTCCATTATTTAAAAGTAATACAATTTGGAAACTGTAGCGTGGGAATCCAAATCGGCATAGCAAGTAATGCAAATAAATTAATACCATCATCGGTGGAATCGTTTCCTGGGTATCTGTCTCCGTGCGGGGTAGTCCATGGAAAGGTTTCATCCGCACTTCTGCGACTCGTCTGGCGATGTGCTAATGTGGAATAAAGGCAAGCGAGCTGTCATTATGTTCACTAGGTTTTGTGGCCGCTGTTGTAAGCAACAGGCCGTCAGCATAAAGATTCGTTTTCTATGGCCGCTGTTATATGTTGTAAGCCGTCAACATGTAGACTCGTTTTTAGAGTCCAACAACCTTTATCATCGCCAGTGGGTTTGTGACAATTCGCCTTGCGTGCGTATTATAATTTAATTTGGAAGCTTCATTTCCTCACCTCTGAAGATCGACCCAGTCGTAACCAACAATGGAAAGAAAATAAAAATAATGGAATATAATGAAAACTAAAATGGTAAACTGTTATACGCTTCTCTAGAATGAGATGTGATCTGGCACTTGTCTGTGACCGTTTCTACAATCAATCGAAGAGGGCAAGTAAATAAATAACTAAACGTCCGTTTTATACAGTGCCTTCTAACTATTTTTAAACAGTGAAGCTGCTGCAGCATTTTCAGGTGGTTTCATCTAGTGAAGCCTATAGAAAAAAAAGAATTGTAATCAAGTGGAATTTGCAGAGTACGGAAAACTGCAGCGTATTACCGCATGTAACCTCCAGAACAAAAGAAGATAATTAACGGTGTAGCACAAAAGAAAAGAAATACCATAGAGAAATAAATAAATAAATAAATGGTATATTCCTCGACGATGAGAGAAGCTGTTCCTTAGAAGGAACCGATCAAATAATGGAACAACCTTTCCATGACATTGCATTAATACTTTTTCAGAAATAAACCTGGGCGCAATTGCAAATCACGTAACACAGAGTAATCAGAATCATTCTGCTAATTTTTCCTGCCACTGAACCAGGATTCTGAACAATCGCCTGACAGATGTTTGGGCAGAGAAAAAATGAAACGAAAGCGACTGTTGTCCGAAATGTTATGTGTATGTTACGAACATTTATTCAGGCACCATGGATGCCGTTTTCGATTGCGTTATCTAGGGACTGTGATGTCCCGAACATATTAAACAAGTTTTGAACAGTCAACTGCTTACTAATCGCGAGCTTAAAATTACAGTGTATAGCATTTTCTGATATAACTTGAAAGTTTGTTCCAAATCTTTGAGTAGTGCGTTGGAAAAAAACGTTCTCTGATTCTCGTAGTAAAATTTAGAATCATGACTTTACCACTTTGTTGCGTAGTTGCTATCTGCTGTTCAAAGATATGTGAACATTGTTATCAAGACTGGGGAGTTAACATTTTATGATTCTGTGAAGAAAACATAAGTTCAGCTTCATTCTCCGAAGCCAAACTGGGGCAAATCCAAGTTCATCACATCGTTCTGTGTATGTCAACTTTGCGGAATATCCACATGGCTTTTTCGTGAAGCGACTCTGGACCCTCTCAAGAGCATGCTGGTCAGATTTCCACAGCTTAAACTGGACCATTTAAGAGTATTCCATACACGGCAATACCTATGTTTTGTAAAGCGATATGCGAGATTCCGTGAGGTGAAAATGATGGCAGATGTTACCGATGGTCTTCATGGCTTTCGAAACTGAAAGTCACAATGTTCAGAAAAGTTAAACGTGACTGAATATCGCACGCCCAAGTCGCGAACTGTCCTGCATTACGAGATATATGCGCGTTGTAGTAATAAACTGTCTGGCGGTACTTGGCATTTGTACGACAAAATATTACACTTGTCCACTGCAAATGACATCTGCCACAGTTGGCACCAGGAGTCAGGAGCAGATAGATCATCCTGAATGAGACGTACGGCTTCCTGGGTATTTGCACGTGGTTGTGAGTAGACAAGTTTAATGTCACCAGAAATGATAAATGTAATACCATTTCTTATTCTCTGGAATACATCGTTAATGTTTATTAGAAAAAGGATAGGCCCAAGAACACTCCCTTGAAGCACTCCACTGGTGATTGCTTTTGGTTTAGAGAAATGGACGCCTATGCGCACCACCTGCTGTCTACCAATTAGATATGAAGACAACCAAGAGAACATCGGTTCTCCAATACCTATAGCCTGCAGTTTGTTTAGTAACCTTCTGTGAGGCACTCTATCAAATACTTTTTGCATATCCAGGAACGGGATTACAACACTGTTTCCGCTGTCAATGGCAGCCGTTGTGTGGTTTGAAATGTCTGTCTGGCATGTTGCGCAGGACCTACCTTGCATGAAGCCGTGTTGCGAATGGCTGATGATGTTAGCTTTGTTAAAGAATATAAATAGTTCACCTTTCACTATCCTTTCCATTAGTAAAAAGTGGTCCGGTGTGTACCATGTGTTTGAAAAGCTATCACACTACCTGCCTTGGGAAGGGGTCGGCGAAAGCAAGCACGGCAGAGGCGCCTTGGTTCTGCCAAGTATGCAAGTCTGCTCCATTTGTTAGCTGTCTATCTGTGCTACTGAGGAGGTGTGAAAGACTAACCGAAGCGGTCGAGCAACTGGTGAGCGCCAGAGTTACACCCATGGGAGGAAACGGACCTGCACTTGTGAGTGAAAATAACACCCCGAACTCCCTAGTCAGGTCGAAGAAGCGAGCCAGGCGTCCCAACCCAACCCCAACGACTCAGTCTCCAGCAGTATCAACTCCATTCTCTCTCCCTCCTATAAGTAAAAACAGTGCCTGCAGCGCGCCTGCCTTAACTTCTGTACTGTGTGCTGCACCTAGTAGTCTGTTCACTACACTCGAGAT